GTTATTCCCCCAGGGGACAGGTCAGCAACTTCCGCTGACTCCCCAGAGGCTTTGGGGGGGTGGAGATGGGACAAGAAGGTGATTGCTGATACAGGCCGCAGATGTGGCCTCCTTCTTAGAGCCTTGCAGGGCAAAGCCGCTGTTTCCCCCCCCTCTCCCCGTACCCTCCCCTCCCCAGGCCCCACCTGTCTAGGCCTAGGGAAGCCCTGCTCTTCTGCTCTGAAATGGCCCATTGCCAGTCAGGTTAGCAGGCTGGCCCTACACTCACTCCTGCAACTTTAGGTTTGGGGTAAAGTCTGTTCTCAGCACTGGTTCACCAGTACTGGTATTTGCCTTCAGGGCCTCTTGCTAGACTAGCACTTGAATGCCCCCCCCCACACCCCCAAGTCACCCTCTTTAGCTTTAGTTGTTTTTCAAATATGGCCTCATGCTCTTGCCCAGGCTGGCTTCAGAGTGCTCTCCTCTGCCTACCAGTGCCTTCTCTGCAGCTGGGATTACAGGTGTGCACTACCAACACCCGGCTTCTTTGGGAATTTCTTTAAAAATACTGGGCTGTCTCCACTGTGGTGCTAAGTGCAGGGGAGCCTAGCCCCTGGAGAAGTTCATGGGAATGTAATGACATGGCTGCTCATGCAGTGATTTTAGCAAAGCACCTGTCGGCAGGCAGCTGCCTACATTACATTTTTCTTGCAGTGGGTGGCGACAGCCACTCCGACACGGGAAACTAAGTACAAAAGTAAGTACAAAGCAGCGTCTCCAGCTGGCCTCCACGTCCCAGAATATCTGGCCGGAGATCATAGGACGCCTTTCTCCTTGGCCGGATGGACCGCATCAATGGCTGCTTTTTCTAGAGCTGGAAGGAAGGCAGACACCAGCAGGAATGTTCTTAACAAAAAGCCTCTTTCTTCTCTTTGAGATAACATTTAGGAATAATCAGATATTGCTCTCAGCCCTGGACTCATGGACTCTGCTTCCCCCCCCTCCCCCGGGGGTGGGGTGGGGTTAAAAGGCCTGAGCCATCCCAAAGGGCCAGCAGACACAAAGTACCCAGTCCTGGGCCACCTCTTTGTTTGGCTCACGTGGGAAAGCTGGTGAAGGCTGGCAAGGGCCAGGATGGTTTCTGGGTCTCTCCCTCTCTCCTCCTCAGCCCTCCAAGAGAAGGATTCCTTGCCATACACATTTGCCAGCTGAGTGTGCTATAGACACCATGGTAGAATTCTTACCACAGCCACATTCATGCCAGTGGCTCACTCCTGTAATCCTAACTACTCAGGAGGCTGAGGTTTGAGGATCGCAGTTCAAAGCCAGCCAGGGCTGACAAATCCAGGTGAACTTTATCTCTAATTAAGAAGCAAAAATTTGGGAGTGGAGGTATGACTCAAGTGGTAGAGTGCCAGTCTTGAGCAAAATAAGCAAGAATGAGAGGCCCTGAGTTCAAGCCCTAGAGGTGCACAAAGAACATCAAAATTCTCAGCACAAGCTGGAATTTTCCTGTTTGTGAGCAGCTGTCCCAGGGTCCCCTCTGGCCCCCCCTTTGCCCCACACAGCTGTGGCCTGGTCAAATCTCTCCACTTCTCTGGATGGCAGCCATAAGGATATAGCGATGGACAAACCTCACCGGTGAGGGTTGAGGCCTGAATCAGTGGCCACCCAAGTTCACTAGGGGGTAAAAAAAAATAAAAAATAAAAATAGGGAATCAAGGCTGATTTGACATACTTGCAATTCTGAGCTCATCCACCAGAGGGAGGCACCATCCCATCTGAACATCTAGATGCCAGTTCCCACTTCAACCACTTGTGCTGGGATCTGAACTTTCAGAAGACACGCTATCAGCCCATGCTGAAGACTCCAACAGAGGATTCAAATGCTCAGAGAGGACTCCTGGCAAAGGCTAACACAGTTTGTTTTTCTCTATCAAAGCACCTAAACGATGCTTATTGCAAGCCGTGCTGGTACCAGCTGTGTTTTGTGGGTGGCCATGGTTCCCGTGTGTGCATGCACATGCATCTGCATGAGTGTGTGTGTATATGCATGCATGTGTGTTGGATGGTCTTAAGGATCAGGTTACCCAGACCTCGGGGCGTGGGGAAGTGAGCAGGAAGGACATTTACTGAGCTAAGCAGCTGGGGGGAGGAGGGGGAGAAGGGCCGTTCACATGAAGCTAGAATCTGAACCGCGCCTGTCAGTCACCTTTGTGACGTCACACTTCGTGGAAGGAAGAAGAAGTGTGGCAGTGGGACAGATAGTCAGCTGATCCACTCCCAAAGCTCACTGGGAGCAGGGGGCAGACTGGGAGCAGTTGAGAGCCCAGGCCTGGGCCTGGGAGGCAGGAAGTTGTGTGGTACCTGCAGGTGGCTTAAAGATTGATGGCTGATGTGGAGCACCTGGGAGCTCTGCGGTATGCTGGAGGGGGCCGGGTCTGCAGAGCCAGGAACTTTGTAGCTGCAGATCGGACTGTGTCAGGCAGTGTGGCCACCTGGCTAGCTCTGCCTCCAGCTTCAGCCAGGGGCTGGCAGAGAGCCCTGGGCCATCAGCGCCCTGATCACAGCCCACTCTCCTCCAATGGGGACCAGTTCAAGGCTAGGCCCTATGGCGGCGGCACGGCTGTGTGAATCTCTGGCTGCTTCATGCTTCTAGAGACCCCAGTGCTGTTCACACTTGAGTGGCACTGGTAACTTCTAGAGAAAACAGTGATCATGACATCCTCCAAGGAATGAAATCCTTTCATGTTCTATTATCCTGCTGTAAAATCGAAGTTGAAATCAAAGGAGATGAATTCACACGAGTCTAGTCAGCTTGCCTTCGTGAAGGTTTTGGATCACAGTGGGGTCAAAAGTAATCATTTTATTTATTTATTTTTGCTATTCCTGGGGCCCGAACTCAGGGACTGGGCTCAAGGCTAGCACTTTACTACTTGAACCACAGCACTACTTCCAACCTTTTCTGTGTATTGTGGAACTGAGGAATCAAACCCAGGGCTTCATGCATGCGAGGCAAGCACTCTACCACTGAGCCACCTTCCCAGCCCAAAAGCAGTCATTTTAAAAATCAAAAGAAATGTCACAAAACAAAAATGCAAAACGGCCCTGCCCGTCCCCCAGCTTGAAGGACCCAGGCTGTCCTGAGCAGTCCCTGTGGATCTGCCCCCAAAATCTGCCTCCCCAAATCACAGGGGGCCCGGGAGGAGGGAAAGAGGGAGTGCACTTTACTGGGGATGAAGCGAGAACCAGATCTGAAGTGATGTCCCACGGAGCAGGTGCTTGTAGACTGCAATGTCTCATTTTTATTTTTGTTCTGGTCTTGTTCTGCCAGCCAGGTGCTCTTCCACTTGATCCATCTCCTCTTCAGCCCTTTGTGATATCATTTTTTAATGATGGAGGCCCAGGCTGGTCTCCATAGCTGAGGCCTTAGCACACACCGCCATGCCTGGCTTACTGGTTAAGATGGGGGAGTCTTTTGAACTTTTGCCAGAGTGGCCTTTAACTGTGAGTCTCCGGATCTCCACCCAGTTAGTGGGGATTACAGGCATGAACCACAGCTCCTGGCCCCAGGTCCTCAATGTTGATAATGGGCGGAGTCATCTGGGAACTCCCAGATCCTGCCTGGGGGAGGCTTGAACACCCTAAGGGCTGACACAGTTAGAAAATGCTGCAAAAAACAGTTTTCCTCTCCCTATTCCCCACACGAACAGGTACACAGGCAACTCAGATGCACTCTGCCAGCCCTAAAGAAATGGCTGTGTCTTCTGCATTGGGAAGAAGGCTGAATCAGGACCAGAGAAAACACACACACACACACACACACAGAGGTGAACGAAGCAGGTTTATTGCATTTTTACAATAAAAATAAATTAGTCATACACAAAAATAGTTGTCACTTTTACCAAAAACAGATCGCATTTACCCATAATCCACCTCTCCTCCCACCTTTATGTAATAATTTAACACTACCAAGGAGACATGGAGGTCGCCCAGGGCCTGGGCCAGGCTAGGCCTGCGGTGTCGGCAGAGGGAATGTACTGCCCAGCCCTCCCCGATGTGGCCAGCCCGCCTGTGCTGGCTGCCAGCAAGCTACTGGGAGAAGTGGGGTGGGGTGGGGGAGGAGGAAGAAGGAGAAAAGGAGGAAGATTTAAGACAGGGGCTGGGAAGGTGGCTTGGTGGTAGAGTGCTTGCCTAGCATGCAGGAAGCCCTGGGTTCGATTCCTCAGTACCACATACACAGGAAAAGCCAGAAGTGGTGCTGTGGCTCAAGTGGTAGAGCGCTAGCCTTGATCAAAAGAAGCTCAGGGACAGCGCCCGGGTCCTGAGTTCAAGCCCCAGGACTGGCAGAAGAAAAAAAAAAAGATTGAAGACAGGAAGGGGGCAATGATCTAGGCACAGACCCGGAGGGCGCCTTGAGAGGAGGCGCAGGGGTTCGAATCCACCATGAACCCGCCAGGGAGCTTCCATGGGCACAGCGCAGAACCCCCAACCCCCTCCCCACAAACACCTCATGTTTGCAAAGAACAAAACAGTAAGTGAGAACAAAACAAATCCTCTGTCAGACTCGATGGACGGGGCTGTGGGGGCATTTATGTTCACTGAGGCCAGGGCTCTGCATCTGGAAGGTTCCAGTAGGGCTGAGGCCAAGGGCCCCAGTGTCTGGATGTTTCCACCATCTCATGATCACTTTGGCCTGGTCCCCCCGGGGTCTTCATGGAACCAGGAATGAGGAGGCTCAGGAGGCCTAGGATGGAACTAGTTTGTGCCGGTGCAGGTGCACTAGAGAGATCAGGTCTAGGCCTGGCCTCCATGCTAGTATAGGCCCCAGGCAGGCAGCCATGTTGAGTCTGCTGCGCAGGTGCAGTGTGGCTGGACCGGCAGAGCCCTGACCATGTTGCTTGTGATCTCTGCAACAGAGAACCACAGCTCAACCCAGCTTCAAAACACGATCCTCACATCCCAGCCTCCTGAGTAGCTGGGATTACAGGCGTGAGCCACTCATGTGCTTTGTTGATCTTTAGGAGGAAAAAACAAAACACCATCGCTTTCCCTTACCTGGTTGTGAAATTCAGAATAGAGATTGAGGCAGTGCCGGCTTCAGGAATATAAAACAGTATCAAGATATAAATTTAAATTCCACCTTTCAACCCATGAAGGGCAGGTGGTGAAGCCGGAGGAGGAGGAGGAGGCCCAGACCCTGGGAGAGACAGGAAGACACGGGTGCTGTATGTGGGGGTACAGCGGTTTTCTGGGCTCCCCTCCGCTGCTCGCAGGCCCTGCAGGGTAAGCTGTGCTAGAAGACTGGCAGCCAGGAGCTGGAATGAGAATCTAGGAAAACAGCCAGGATTGGTGAACACCAACAGGAATGAACTTGGGGAACCACAGCTGTGTTAGAAGAAGAGGGTAAGGCGTGGGGGGGAATAGCAGGGAAGTGGGGATCCTGTCCCTGGACAGGAGGGACCCCTGTGGCTCTCCTGTCTCCTGGGACCATTGGCTTGAGGACGGACTTTGGTAAGATCTGCAGAGCCATCAGAAAGGCCCCGGGACTCTGTCACAGAAGGGAAAAGGGACATCTAAAGACACCTAAAACACCAGTGCTGGTGTTGGACTTGGTTCAGGGCCGGCCATCTTCTCCATCCACCTCTGGGTCAGCAAAGCAGCCGCCTTCATTCTGTCGTGGCCGGTTGGTGGGCGAGGTTGTGCATGGACCATGTTGGTGGGCCCTTGGCTCTGCCCCTGAGCAGCGTCTCCGTGGCCCTGTCCGTGGAGTGGGGTAATGCTCAGTCTTCCCATCTTGAGCTGGGGTGGTGTCCGTGGCCCCCGGTGCCACAAAGCCTGGCTCTCTGTGACTGCTGCCCCCTGTGGCGGGGCATGGTGCACACGTGGCCGGCTCAGGCCCCAGCACCGCAAAAAGGGGCCCAGGGCAGGGGGCGCTGCCCTCGTCGTAACCCAGTGGGTGCTTTTGATCAGGCCGGTGGGCCTGGGGACCAGGCAGTGCTTGCGTAGCAGGATGGGGAGGGGGCTGTGTTGGCGATGGCTGGGCACCTAGGCCCAGGCTCTAGGGAGCCATTAAGAGTACTGTGCACACAGCACCTGGACCACGCGGGGAGCTTCAGAAGGCAGGGGTGGTGGTGGCTTTGTCGGTGCCAGGCCCGTGGCTCTCTGAGGGTAGTGGTGCGGCCCTGCCCTCCGGGCTGCGTTTCCTGCGCCCCGGGGAGCCGGCCCGGCGTGCCACACGGGTACAGGAAGCGCAGCAGGCGCCCTGGTAGTACTGGTAGATGCACAGCCGTGCCTGTACCACCACGTTGCAGTTGAAGTACTTGTCCTGGCAGCTTGCATCTGCAGGGGAGTGGGGGGGGGGGAGAACATGGGTGTCAGAAAAGATCCTGAGCCATCCAGATGCTGGTGGCTCACACCTGTCATCCTAGCTACTCAAGGAGGCTGAGATCTGAGGATCAAGGTTCAGAGCCAGCCCGGGCAGGAAATGTCTGTGAGACTCTGATCTCTAATGAACCACCAGAAAACCGGAAATGGCGCTGTAGCTCAAACGGTAGAGCGCTAGCCTTGAGCTGAAGAGCTGAGGAACAGCGCCCAGGCCCAGAGTTCAAGCCCACAAAAGGTCCAGCCAAAGAACCTCCCCCCCGCTTCAAAAAAGAAATCCTGGCCCAGAGCCCTTTAGATGGGGAGGGGGCACCTCCTATAGGTAACAGAGCCCCCAGTGAGGCTTGTCATTCTTAAATATTCCTGCATTCTTCACTTTCTTGTTCTGCCAACCACAGGGGTTTGAACTCAGGGCCTCCCACGCTCCTTTAGCTTTTTCATTCACAGCTGGCGGTCTACTACTTGAGCCACAGCTCCACGTTGGGCTTTTTGGTAGTTATTTTGAGAATAAGGATGTCATGAATTTGTCTGCTTGGGCTGGTTTTGAACTTCGATCCTCAGCATCCTGAGGATTATAGATATGAGCAGCATACCTGGATCAACCCCCCTCCCCCCATGGGGCTTGAACTCAGGGCCTGGGTGCTGTCCCAAGGCTAGCAATCTACCACTTTGAGCCACACCTCTGATTTTCCCGTGATTTATTGGAGATAAGAGTCTTACAGACTTTTCCTGGCCCGGCTGGCTTTGAACTGTGATTCTCAGATCTCAGCCTTCTAAGTAGCTAGGATGACAGGCGTGAGCCACCAGTGTCTGGCTTTCCAATCTTCTTTCCTATTGTAAGTGAAGACTTTTACATAGTTTTGTTTCTCAGTCTTGCTGAATTGCTCCCCAGATTCTCTCTCTGAACCAGGGGTGACTGTTTATGCCCTTTGCAGAAGGTCACATGTTGTATTTTTCCCCCCACCATGTGGTGTTTTTGGCTGAGCTAGTGACCACACGATCAGCCCAGGAGCTTGGGAATTACATCACACACAGAGTAGCATTTAAGTCCCTGCTGAGAAATGCTCTTTCTATCTCCTATTTCCTAATTTAGATACATTTTTACAGAAATGATTCATGAAACCCTGTATACAGAACAGAGCCAAATCTTTGTTGTTCACTGGGCTGGAAGGATCCCTCGCCCACTCTGTGGATTTTCTTATCCCTTTGTTTATGGTGGTGTTTGATAAGCAGAAATTACATATTTTAGTGTAATGGATCGGGTAGCATTTTCCTTTGTCGTCTGTATTTTTGTTTTTCATTTTAAGAAATCCTTACTTGGAAAAAAATTCTCCTATAGTTTCTCTTAAAAGTTTTTGTCCTATTTATTTCTTGGAGGTAGTGGGGACTGAACTCAGGCTTCAGCTTAATAAGTACTCTGCCACTTGAACCAAAACTCCAGTCCTTTGGCTTTTTCGTTTTATTGTTTGTTTCTGTTTGCTTCAGACAGGATCTCCTGCTTTTGCCTAGCCAGCCTTGGACAGTGATCCTCCTACTTTTTGCTTAAGTAGCTGATATTATAGTTATGTGCCACAATTGCTTTAGCAGTGACAGTACCATTTTGAGCCAGATCAAAGACAACCGAAGTTTTGTCTCTATATCCTATTTTGTTAATTGTGTAGTTCGAGTGGATTTTATATAACTGGTGGCTAACACTCCCCTCCCCGCCCCCCAGCCCCGCTTTGAAAAGCCACCACAGACAAATGTCAATAACCGAGAGTGGTAGAAAATAAAAAAGAAAAAACACCTCTCCTATCATATCCTATTAGTCATCAACCTTTGACACGTGTGGGGCTGAGTAACAGGCCTCCAGCAAGCCTGAATGGGCTATGGCCGTCACGCCCCGCGTTCGATCATCACTCCCAAGGAAATGGAAAGTCCTGCTGTCTGTAATGAGCCATGACCGCACCACGCCAGAGACAAGCAGGCAACTCTGTGCACACGACTCTTCCAAGTTGCCTTATGCCACCTTGCACCAACAATGTGAGCAACGATCGTGCACCCAAATTTAAATTAAGTTTCAGCTGTATGGGTTATGCTTATGCCAATGAACATTTTGGTGTGCCCGCGTGCATGCAAGTCCTTCAGTGTTTATTCCTCAGCCTGGCGGACACTGTGTTCTTACCGATTACAATGCATTTCCCCAAGACATGTGTCTAAAGCAGTTTCTTTGGGATCTTTCCTTTTTTTTTCTTTTGTTGGTCATGGGGCCTGAACTCTGGGCCTGGGCGCTGTCCCTCAGCTCTTCAGCTCAAGGCTAGCGCTCTACCACTTGAGCCACAGCGCCACTTCTGGCTTTTTCTGCTTATGTGGTGCTGAGGAATCAAACCCAGGGCCTCATGCATGCAAGCAAGCGCTCTACCACTGAGCCACCTTCCCAGCCCCAATCTTTCCTAGTTTTCTCCCTCTCCCTTCCTTTTCCTTCCATGCAACGACGTGTTATAAACTATAGAGCCGGGAATCTGCTGCTGTTGTGACCTCCTGAACCCCGGGACAAACGTGGGGTCATGCACCCCTGGCGTGTCCACCCTGGAGGACTTTCCACAGAGCTGAACAAGCCGTGGCCCTTGGGCACTGGGCTCCACTCACCCACTTCCGGGAGGCAGTCCTGAGGGTTACAGGACTCTCGCTCTTCTGGCTTCAGGTGGGGGTCGCAGAGGTCACTGAGGGTCATGTCATCTGACAGACAGCGCACTTCCCGGACCCGGAAGCCACCCTGGCAGGTCTTGGAGCACTGGAGGCATCGAGGGAAGAAGTTAGATCATGTCCACAGGGTGGGGGCCCACGGGGTGGGCTGGGGGGATCTCGAACATCTCTAAGGATGCTGAACTTGGGAGAAACAGCCACACTGCCATCCACCAGGCCACCCGTGTCCCATCTCCATCCCCCCCATGCTGTCCTCTGTCTCCAAGCAAGGATCCTTCCATTCCTACCTAAAATGAACAAGCGCTAGTATCCGATTATCTTTTTGTTTTTTTGCTGGTTCTGGGGATTGAACTATGAGCCTGGGCGTTGCTCCTGAACGTTTGTGCTCTAGGCTAGCACTCTACCATTTGAGCTACAGCTCCATTTCCAGTCTTTTTTTTTTTTCTTTTTTGGGGGGGGGGTCGATTGTAGCAGCTTGAACTCTGGGCCTGAGTGTTGTCCCTGAGCTCTTCAACTCAAGGCAAGCACTCTATCACTTGAGCCACAGTGCTGCTTCCGGTTTTCTGGTGGTTAATTGGAGATGAGAGTCTCAGGGATTTTCCTGCCCAGGCTAAACTGTGATCCTCAGATCTCAGCCTCCTGAGTAGCTAGGATTACAGGTATGAGCCACCAGTGCCCAGCCATTTCTGGCTTTTTGTAGTTCATTGGAGGTAAGAGTCTCATGGACTTCCCTGCCTGGGCTGGATTTCAACCTTGATCCTCAGATCTCAGCCTCCTGAGTAGCTAGGATGACAGGTGAGCTACCAGCACCTGGTCCTTATTTTTAAATACACATCATTGGCCCTATTTTTACTTGTCTTGTGAATCTCATAAATTTTTCAATCATTTCTTTTTCCCCTTAAAAATCAGGGTCAAGCCAGGTACAGATGGCTCACTTCTATCACCTGAGCCACGTCCCTGGGGAAGATCATCATCACGACTGAGATAGCACTCATCTTAGCAGAGTTGCTTCCTGAGAACTTTTTTTTTTTGCCAGTCTAGGGGCTTGAACTCAGGGCCTGGGCACTGTCCCTGAGCTTCTTTTGCCCAAGGCTAACACTCTACCACTTGAGTCACAGCGCCACTTCTGGCTTTTTCTGTGTATGTGGTACTGAGGAATCGAACCCAGGGCTTCATGCATGGTAGGCCAGTGCTCTACCACTAAGCCACCTTCCCCGCCTTCCTGAGGACTTCTACCATGTAGAAATCAAGATTGACAGTGACTCCCTGCAGTAGACTGCCATCGGGGAGGTAGACTGTTCTGTGGACCAGCCTAGGCCCGACCACCCTGGTGTGTATAGACTGCCCTGTGGTCTAGGCATGGGCCTGGTACGTGTGGGCTTCTCCATAGTCCAGGCAAGGCCCCGGTGGGTGGGGCCTGGTGAGTGGTTGCAGCAGAGGCCCTGTGCAAAGCATGCTGGGACTCACCGCGCTCCACTCGGTGCTGAACCAGGTGGCCCCGCAGGGCTGGCGGCGGCAGGGCTGCTGTCTGGGGGGCCGCTCCAGGGAGGAGCACTCTTGGGGATCCAGCACCACGAAGGCATTCTCGTCCTTCCGCACGCAGATCACCTCCCTCTGCTGAACCCCGCTGCCGCACTCCACGGAGCACTGAGGAGAGTAGGGCGGGGATAGATGGGGACAGGGCTGCGGTGACCACACAGCGGGGGACAGCCCTGGGGGACATGGCCAGGTCTGCAGGGAAGAAGCTGCAGCGGATTCCGGGTTTCCTGACAGCTCTGTCCACCAAGTGGAGTCAGCGCCCATATTCCCTCCAGGGGACACTGGATTCTGGCCATGTCCCTTCTATCCCTTAGTCAGACATCTCCAGAAGGGTTAAAGCCATGGCCGATCCTCTGGCTCTTAGGAGGCTCTGGGGGTGTGAGCAGATCAACCTCTGAGCCCGCACACCTGTGCAGGGACTCACACACGCAGACGCTCTGGACACAGGACAGCACCCCCTGCTGGCCCACAGGGGCCAAGCAGCCCTGACGTCGGCTTCCCAAGAAGCTGGGATTACAGGCTGAGCCGCCATACTCAGCTCTCATGCTTTTGTTTGCCAGGCCTGGAGTTTGAACTCAGGGCCTGGGCACTGTCCCTGAACCTCTCTGTGCTCAAGGCTAGCACTCTACCACTTGAGCCACAGCACCACTTCTGGCTTTTGCCTGTATATATGGAACTGAGGAATCGAACCCAGGGCTCTATGCATGCCAGGCAAGCACTCTACCACTGAGCCACCTTCCCAGCCCCTAATACTTCTGGATTAAAAAAAAAAGTTAAAGTCATTATCAAAGAGCCTTCGTTATCAGTTCTGTCTGCATGAAGCCACAGAAGGAAATCAAGTCACCCAGAAAGTGGCACACACAGCCTGCTCCCCGCCTCCCCTCCCCTTGCTAGCGTTGATGGGATCCAGTCTGCGTCTCCCCTCCACGCAGGCTGAGGCTGCCCAGCGCCTCTCGGCTGGGCCTCCTACTTACCTGACTCCAGCTCCCCGAGAACCACTCCACCTTGCCCGTGCAGGGCCCGTGGTCACATGGCGTAGCCTCTGCTGGCCGGTTGTTTCCACAGCCCTCCAGAGGCAGGCTGCTCACGTGGCTGGTCATGCACAGGACGGAGCGAGTGCGAACTCCAGCCCCGCACTCGGCTGAGCACTGTTGAGACAGGAGGGGCGTATGAGAGGAGCCTGTCCCCCCCAGATGACGTCAAGTACAAACACCACACTGTCCCCCAACCTCCCTGAATATTATGTAACTTTCGTGTGTGTGTGTGTGTGTGTGTGCTGGTACTGGGGCTGGTGCTTGACCACATGACCCATAGCTCCACTTCCAGCTTTTTGGTGGTGGTTCATTGGAGATGAATCTCACAGGCTTTCCTGCCCAGGCTGGCTTAGAACCTTGACCCTTAGATCTCAGCCTCCAGAGTAGCTTGATGACAGGCGTGAGCCTGTCCCCCTCCTCTCATTGGCTCTTGCCTGGATGTGCCATGCTCAGAGGCCTCGTGCAGGCTGGTCCTCTGCCTGGAATGCTGTTCCCCTTCACCAGGAGATGCCAGAGTCCATGGAGGCTCGGCTCCGACACCATCTCTTCTAGTGAAGCTGTCTAGACCGCCCTGGGCAAGGCACTCTTTGTATCTCAGAATCGTCACGGCTCTTAGAATTGTGCTTTCTTCCTCTGTGACCATCCTGACTTTTACCTCCCTCTCTGTTCTCTGTAGAAGGTAGGTTTGTCTAGGACAGGGACTAAGGGATCGTCTGTGATTCTCCGCGTGCCAGGGACATGTCTCACATTCATCTCTGCCTCTTTCCCGCGGTGACCCCTGCTTTAACGTTACCCTTTGTACCATAGACAAAGCCAACAGAACTGTAAAGAAGGGATGAGAAAAGGAAGGAGACCCTGATCACCCTGTCGCTTTACCAACACCTCCATCTTCGCATGCTACTGTCTAGTTTTTAAAGATTGTCTCCCAGTGGAAAAAGTCAGAGTAGTGATGGCTGCAGAGGCAGGGTAGGCCTCCCCCCCTCCCCTCCCCCAGCAGGAAGTGCTCAGAGAGGTTCTTGCTTGAAGGCCGCTCCAGCACCCAGTGCATGGACAAGATCAAAAGCCACAGAGATGATGCAGCTAGGGCGCCACCTAGTGGTGGGGATGAGCATTAATCAAAGACCACTGCCCCCCAGTGGCGAACCCGGGAAGTTCTCTGTCATTCTCATTGCCCTCCGCTTTGTCTAGCCAGATCTCCGCACTTTATTTTCCTTTGTTAAGCCCTGGAGACCAGCGACTTCTTTCCTGTGAAAGTCCTCCATCCCACATTAAAAAAATACTATCATCAGGGGCTGGGAAGTGGTAGAGCGCTTGCCTTGCATGCATGAGGCCCTGGGTTTGATTTCCTCAGCACCACATAAGCAGAAAAAGCCAGAAGTGGCACTGTGGCTCAAGTGGTAGAGCGCTAGCCTTGAGCCGAAGAGCTGAGGGACAGCGCCCAGGCCCAGAGTTCAGGCCCCACGACCGACAAAACAACAAAAACAAAATACTACCATCAAATGAAGTTTGTGTGCCTTTCTCCTGTTCAGTACACAGGCTGGAGCCCCGGAGCCCCAGAGGGTGGAGGGCAAATTTTCCCTCCCTACAGGCCCACACACCCTTGTACCAGCTTGTGCTGTTGGAGGTCAGAGACATCACCCACATGCACCTGTGTGCTGACACCGATGCCCTGCAGCACGACACCCTGCCAGGGCTCCTGTGGGCCTTGTCTCCACCCTGTAGCATCCTTATATTCTGTTCTTATCTCTATACTGTGCTACCAGTGCATGCCTGCTGCCACACCTGCCATCCCGGCTATGCGGGAAATGCAAACAGGAGGATCACGGTCCAGGCTGCACCAGATCCTATTTTTATTTTGTGGAAAAAATTAACCAAAGCCAAAAGGGCTAAGGGTGAGGCACAAGTGGCCGAGCACCTGCCTAGCTAGTGCCAGTTCCCCAGTACTGCCAGGAAAACACAAGGCAAGGCAGGTCGAGTGGAGGAAAGCTCCAAGGCTACCACTGACTTTGTGTTTGGCCCTGAGTGATGGCTAGGCCTGAACTCTGAACCTCACCTGAGGTGACACTTGGCCATCACTGAGGGTTGGAAGGCGGTGGCCTGGGAGGTCCTGGTCTGTCTGTGGAGACACAGGGAGCGTGGGGACATGGGGACACTCACCCTCTCGCTCCACTCGGTGAGGAACCAGCTCCTGGCGCAGGGGCCCGCGTCGCAGTTCTCGATGTCGCCCGGCCGCACCTTCATGTTGCACTCCTCATCATCCACCACGTCCCCGAGGTTGCTCACACACCTCACCACGCGCGTCCTCTGCCCCACCCCGCAGGGCACGGAGCACTAGAGCACACAAACGTGGGTCAGTGCCCTGTCCCCAGCAGGTGACAGACTCTGGGGGCAGGGGGAGGGGGGATCTGAGTCTTAGGAAACACCCTAGCCCATTTCTCTCAGGCCTCTTGCATGGAACCTTCCCCGTGCCTCAGTTTACCCATCTAGAAACGGAAAGAGCAAAATGGGGAGGAGCTGGCTCTGCAGGTGTGGTCCGAAGGCCTGGGAGCCCACAGTGCCCCCTTGTGGAAATGGTGGGTGGTGCACATGAGCAAGCGAATGCACTCTGCGGTGTGTGGGCACCCTGTGTTGCCCCCCACCCCGGGGTGCCCTGAGGACTGTCCCCCTTGGCTGGGGCTGGAGGGGCCCACCGAGCTCCAGTCGGTCCGGATCTGCCACTCGCTGCAGATCTTGAGCTGGCAGGTGCTGGTGGTCTCCGGCTTCTCCAGGTGCTGGCAGCGGTAGGGCTGCACCGTGAGGCTGCGGTTGGCATACACCTGGCGGCACAGCACCTGGCGGTGCTGCAGGCCCAGGCCGCAGGTCTTGCTGCACTCCGACCACTCGCCGATGTCCCAGCTGGCCAGGCACCAGGGTGAGAGGGGCAGAGCCCGGGTCAGCGGGGGGG